TAGATATATACATATATATATATATATATATATATATATATATATATATATATATGTAAATACCGTACGCTTTGGAAGGCCAAACAACTTACCGCGACCCATTCATATGAACCCGATCGATTGATCCTTCATACATTGATTGGACCACTGATAATGAATAAAACATGCAAAAAAGATAAGTAGGACGGTATACATGCAGCAATCATCTCAACTGAAACTACATTCTTCAAGAAAACCAGAAAGTAAACATAGCCACATTTCGAAAGTCCACAGCGCATTACGAACGTTGTGGTGCTACAAGGGTTGTTCATCCACACTGCAAGAGCGAAACCGCCAAATTTGGACGAATTAGGCAAGTGAATGAAAGATTGGTGACAGTGCCAATGAATCGTATTGAGAAAAACAACCACATGACTCGTACAAATAATCAAATTGATCCTTCAGCTATTTGACAATTTGGATAAGAAACATCGCTCCTAATGCTTACAGCACCGGGAGACACGCAGACCCGATCTGGTGGTATGTTGTAAAGTGCGCTACTCAAGAGAGTTCAACAAAGCATCCTACCATGTTGCGGCAGCGAGGCATCAGTGTTAAAACCGATGTTAAGCCGTCGATTATGATGATGATGACTGTGAATGCCTATCACGCTGGACCTTGGAATACGCAATAAAGACCTTACAACTATAGTTTTGGTCATGATGCTGATATCTCCGCAGTCTGAGTTAGGAACAAAGTGCCACAAAATGAGTGTCAAAAGACCCTGAAACCATAAAAATACTGATGTGGACGGTAAGACATAACCAACAGAACACACTTCCTAGGGGGCACTTTGGTGGTCCAAAAGACTTCAAAGTTAGACATTTCTTCGGCCACTGGCCGGCTTTTTCCTGGACAGTCTGTAAGTAGCTGATAAGCAATTGCTGAGAATCTATGGGTTGTTCCTGTCCACCTGCTTTAGCCTCGAGAGTGGAGGGACGAATTTAAGTGGAGTACGACAAGCGCAGTGCACACTAACGTAATTCTGGTATTAATGGATAGGTCAGAACATGAAGCAGTACCAGGCAACTCACAAACGGGCAACCAGTTGTGTAAGACTTTATTTCATTACCCAATAAAGAGGCTTCCGGTTGATGAGGTAAAAAGCGTGGACAATGTCAGTAAAAACGGATGCTGACACATCAACATAGCATAGAGCAACAATTAACTCCTAGCGATATTAGTAAAATAAGCCCGCATTTCAACACTATCTAAGACGCGCCGTTCATCTCGGTCAGCTTTTGTTCAATGTACAACCGCAACGCAACAGGACTCGTGAAATCGATAGTGAGATCAATGAGCATGAAGAACAGCTGTGACAACGGAACAGCGATCACACGCGCAGGCCAGCCAAACAAACGACAGCGGTCACTCGGTATCACAGAATGGATAGTTTATACGCACTGGGCAGAGGAAAACCGAACGTCAATAAAACCACTGGTGACAACCAACTGACACTGGGACTCCTTGCATACGAGCTCAACCGATATTCATTTCTGATATGTTGGGATTTAAGTTTCCGGTAGAAATTCCGAGGTAATAATTCCAAACTTTTCAAGTTGGAATGTTTTCTATCTGGGTTACAAAATCGATATCTGGAACAATCATCCAGCACCAGCAACAATGCAAACGTGAATTCACTAACTGCTCTCGAACCTCGGAGAAATTACGGGTCGCATGTATCTGACACCCGATATTCAGGGAATAATAGAACGTCGAGGCCCTCAATACGTATATCCACAATTCTTAAATTATACGGCAATTTAACTTCGTGTAAATCACAATCGCCACTCTTGGTGGCACGAAGGCTCAAGTACGTAAGCTAGACGTTTGTTGGCCATCTTGGATTAAAGATGAGACGAACATACAACAGAAGGCGTCAACCGCAACTGTGATGCCTACAGGCTGTTTGCAGCATGAATTTCCAGAATAGCGAAAATCGTTTGACTACGTGTTCCCAATGGGGCAGCACCAACACCCTCCCAAAAAAGTTAGGCGACTAAAGACAGCAACCACCGCACAGCTAATAATCGGTCTTCTTGCACAGCATTGAGGTAGTCATATAGGAAAATCGGGTTTAACAACGGCTCAATATAGGATTAGGCAAAGATAAAATCCTGAAGGATTGTTACGGCCTACATAATTCGTTCCATACATCTCAAATGCCTCTAGTGTTGCAGGTATGTGATACATCAGTCTGGCCACGGACGACACTGGAGTTAGCATGATCGGTAAAACTGCACAAATGCCAACCGGAATCAGACTTCTCCACTGAAACCATCTGTGAGAAAAGTTAATCAATAAAAGTAGCCTCTAGGTAGTAGCTGCATCACTCAAATAACCAGGAGAGTAATAAGGCGTCGAATTGAACAATAAGAGTAAAAACAATGAACAGTAATAATAACCAACAAGGTCTAGTCTTTTCAGAAAAATAAGAGAATGCTAGAAAATTGGGTAGAGTAAGGTCCCGCTAGGGGAGACAATATTTTCACAGCATTAACGGATCAACAAGTCTAACTTCTGTTGCGGCCCTTCAAATATAAACTTCAGCCTTTCTGGTAGCCACTGATAAGACGTCATTAACCAAGATACGTTATGTCCAACGAACAAGCATTGGATTACGGCCTTTCAGCATCGACTCTTTTGAGAAGGATGAGACGGTACAAACAGCAGTCGCTGTGGACGAGTTTGGCTGTATAAATAAAGCGACTACGTAAATCATTTACGTTTGTGCTCCCCATAGGGACTTACTGGAGGACGGGGGCGATTTAAGAATGTCTCCGTTTATTTCTTTGGGGCTCGCGTAAACCGGAGAGCCCTGTGTTTGAGGAAATCTGCCTACGAGACCGTCTCCAGAGGGGCTGGGTTCTGTCCAACCTTGAAAAGACCGGCCATCACTGTGGTCACCATTTGGTTGAATATCGGTCAATTGGGTGGTCGAAGCACGACTCCTGGGTTAAAAAGAGCGGACGATGACACACAAGTAGACAGACAGGAAAGACGTTCGTTGGTTCTGAGACCGAATGATAGCGTGGCATGACAGGATGAAACAGCTGAGTTCAAAATTAGACATTTTTCAGTTAGATTAAATATCTACCTACTTAAAATCGATCTATCCAGATAAACATCCGGTTGCTCATCGATCTTCGCAGTAGACTTGATAATTAACCAAAGTACCAGAATAGGGACGGAAGGTTTCGTGTGACTGTTTTTTGGGGTCGGACGACGTCTTATACTCCACTTTTATTCGCTGTCGTATAAACCAGCTTCCATAAAGCTAGCCTAACAAAAAGATTCGGCAATACGACTGCTCCACGAAAACACTGTTCCAATCATATCGTGTCCGTTAGGACTGTGGAGAAAGTCTCACCAGTCAACGCAGTCTAGAGGTTCAGGACCAAGTGCAATCCTACCAAATAGCTTGTAGAGTTTATGAATTACGATTACAGAGCGCGATAATGAACTACACCGTTGTGAAGCATCAAACTCACGAAGCAGAACCCTAAGTCAAATCGTTAGGCAACAATACACCTTGGGAAGTCGATACACGAGAACCATTAGACAACAGGGTGCAGCAATGTTTTCCATATCAAGCAAATGAGGTTTCACTGATGCACGAAGTAGTGCGCAGATCCGATTGGTTGAAAAAGAGGGTTGACGGTTTAAAATGCTCAGCAAAATGAAGCAACCGAAAAGCCACACGACGCGAACAAAAACTCGAGCTAGGTGGGAAACTTGCAGAATAAACAGACGAAAAGTGTGACTTGTAAATGTGGTGCATCTTTGGGCAATGACCAACATGGTATGCAGGCAATCTTGCAGAGATGCCTGAAGCCAGACAGTAGATCCGTGGCTTTTGCTACATCGTGCAAGTCGACTGCCAAATACAGGAACATGGGCAAACATAAGTCACACTGCAGCCAAGCACAGTAAATGGAAATGTGTAGCGTTACATCGGCTCTATTTTCTATTCCACCGCCTCATATTACCAAACGATTTGTGATACCAGGAACCAACTAACAGTAATAGTTACCTCAGTTTGGTAACTTACTACACGAAAGAAAAAAGTTTCAAAGGAAGCTTAAAAACCAGTGATCGGGTACATTGAGGAACGCATACTTCGGAAGTTAGGGGATCGAGTGACGGTACGGCAAGGGATGCGTGGAAAGCCGACTCCTAATGAAGCGTTGAGTTGGGCTGTGTGTGCTAACTCCTAACCCGGAGCAAAGAACTATAACAGTTCGAAAGTGTCCTTGATGAATTCATAGAAGCGACGACAGGACAAGCCTGTGCCGAGTCCCGTAAGCACGCTTCATTCAATATATAAATCGGGAATATGATGACCTTATCTAAAGCGATGCAATAAGGATTAACCGAAGAATGAACGTTTCGCACAAGCTTTGAGACTAAATCGACAACGGAAACGCATAAAGGCGGGAATGGGGAGTTTCGTTAAACAGTTCTCCACTAAACTCAAGTAATATGAATGTTCTCGCTAATTTAAAGTGATAACGATCGGTTTCAAATTAGTCGAATTGACAAAGAAAGACATTGTCACACGTCAACAAATGATGGCGAATGTATGTTTATGGACATTCTCATTTAGTCAATGCCTTAGTTCTACCATATTTCAAAGACACAAAGCAAGATTCCGATTAAGGTGTCTCTGGTTCTTATGTTCTACTTGAAGCCGAAGTGCACGAAATCAGCGAAACACTCATTTGCAAATAAATTTGGTTTTGCGAGATACTCATCCGGAACCCAGCAGAATCTCTCGTTTATGGTGCTTCTAAGCGAGTGAATGTGCTGCACCAGGTACGATATTCGAGATATTGCGATACATGTGTAGACGTAATACACTACTGGTAAGTTTACTGATATTCTTAGAAACATCATAAACGAGAGATTCAGCTGGGTTTTAGGTGAGTCTCTCGCAAAGCCAAATTTGTCTGCAAATGAGTTTATTTAGCTACGTAAGGTAAGTTCAGAGAACAGGTTCCCCGACAAGCACAGCATCCATTTCCCATTCGGCTCCAATTTATCACGGACTGCAAGTACTTGTGTGTAATTACACTTGCGCAGTTCGTTTCATGAGTGATTATTTTGATGCATCCAGCATGAGCTGATGTAGACTAGCACATCAGATGTCCGGAGATCGAATCCCCGTAAACATAAGACAAATGCAGTGCATCCTTCTTTTGTGTACCAGAGTAGTCACGCCAGCAGAACCAGACGAGAGATGAAGAAACAAATTATCGGAGAGTTTTGGATGATGAAATCACACCAACTGCCTGTGAACCCGTTCGTCCTTACGCAGCAATCCAATCGGTACCAATAAAGAAATTCCGGAAAACGAAGGAACTCAGAGATGATGAAAAACACCAGAATCGAAGGTCAACTGGCGCTACGCACGATCACTTTTCAAAACACCAAAATGTGTCCCACATGCCCACGTGGGGCGCATCAGCATACAATCGACACGCGTTCCTTCCGTGCGTGAGATACCCGAATGAATGACGGAGTCGTTGGCGGACAAGGTGACGAGGCGGTGCACTTGATTCCGTAAAACAGGCAAACTGCAGTAGCACACAAACACACATCTACAACGGTACAATCGATCGAAATTGTGAGCGTGGGTGTGTGGCCATGTGAAAATAAGTGAACCACATTGCATCACGAACTAGACTGTGATGATGGTGAACCAGGAGTGAACAGTATTGTAACGAACATTGAAACGAGTAAGTTTTAGTTGATCGGTGAGACAGACGAACTTCGATATAATCCTGATAGTTTGACAGTCAAGATTGTAGCTACTTGGCTTGGCCGACAATTTTTTTCTCGAGCAGTGTTTACATGAGAACCAGCACCAACACGGTCATGGACAACTAACGCTGAATGATTTAGAAAAGCTGACCAAAACGAAACAAACAACTAATCTCGTGCACAACAAACAAGGGGGATGCGTAGGAATATCCGTAACTCAATCCGTATGACCAGCTCGACGACCAAGATTTCCTCTATTCTACCGAGTATCACTCATGAAATACTGAATTGCGACTCTGCCGCGGAAGAAACCTCATACGCCAGTGACAGTAGTTCAGCGTCAACTGCTACCTTCATCACCTGTAGCAAATCAAGGCAAAAACGTTGGGCTGTTGAAAAAAAGCACAATGCTGTAGGACTGCGTAGGTTTTCGTTTGAATTAGGAATCTATGCCAATGCAGTTTAATTTCGGGGATAAAGGGCTTAAGCGACCTCAATCAAGTGGCATGATTTCAGAATTATTGTAAGGACGGCAAGGTAGTCATGTATAAGAGTATTCCATGGCCGTATAATGAAGCAACATACAATAACAAGTGGTTCGATAGGACTCGTCTGCTTAGAAAATGACCTCAGCAGGTGAGGTTCGTTGGAAAAATTGTTTGTCTTCAGATGTGAAAATGAGTCGACTGAGATAAGGTAAATGAACACAAAACGAACAATTCCAATCGGTTTGAGAGGAAATATAGTTAGTCAAAAGCATGAAAGACATGAAGGGAGCATAAGGATGAAAAGCTGTAAAAATATCCCTGACAAAGAAACAAACATGAGAAGGCTCTTGAACCAAATCAGGAAAGTCATTCGCAAAAGAGCAAGTAAAAGAATAATACGCAGTTGAAATTGCACTGAATTTACTTAGAGTGAAGGTTGCCCGGGGGTCGTCCAAATATTAAGTCAGATACGGCGCAGAGGACGCGTGACTCATTAGCGCTGACCAATTCATTACTTCGAATTCGGACATGGTGGATTTGAGCCAGTTCGTTCGTACATTGGTGTTAAAATCGGAAGTTGGAAAACACTGCAGAGGACCAGTCATCTTCGTCGAACGGAATAATTATCATAAAGACCAAGGAGTACGCACAAAATGCATTAAGCTTGTAGACCTACATGGACGGTTCTACAGCACACACTATTTGAAATAATCAGATTTAATGAGCCCACCACGTTCAACGAATTAGTGCGTGAACTGTAGCAGTTAGTTCTGCTCTATCCCTCGTACCGTATTGCTGTCGGTGAGGAGACGTTATTTTCCCAGGTATGACTGTACTACATTCCACGTGCTATAATTCGTACTAAAGGACGTAAAACCAAGCTGACCATTCTACATTTGCTCGAACTACATTATGCACCCGAGGGCGGAGAAGTGAACTGGCCAACCTGACGAATTATCACTCACGGACCGTAGACTGCAGTGGTATCGGTGAGAAGAATTACCATCCTACAAAATTCCACTGGTGGAACCGTATCATCCGCTTAGCAGGTTGTGTAATGAATACGCAGATGGCTGTTACGCCATCCCGGCGGCGAGACGAATGTATTCTGTCAGATTATAGGGTTAGTAAATTACAGTAAACTTCTCCAGAGCTTACTCTCCGTAACGGGAAGTAATACCCAGTTCCTAAGGCCAATGCAATAAGAAATCAATAGAACCTAACAGTACCGCAATATATTGCCGCTTTTCATCAAAAAAGTATGGAAGTGAACACGTGCACAAGCTGCATTGCGACATCAGCCTAGATCTGAAGAGCAATGAGACTACGTGTGATCAATAACTCTCGAATCCAGGGATGAGTAGATTTCGACAAATAGGTAGGGACACGAGAGGTTGTCTCCTTTTATGACGTAAGGTCCGGAATGTTAGTTGGCCAGAAAAAGAACATTGTAGTGAGATTTGACGCGCGATCATTTCTCTAACACACATGGCGACCACGACAAGACAGCCAGCTGAACTTTGGGCAGAATCTTTAGCAAACAAGCGATGTAACATACAACCAGGTATGTTCGTTCGCGGATCGTCTTCTCCCCGTTTCTAATCAAACTTACTCATACACGGGAATCAGCGCCGGCTACGCTGAGCAAGTCGCTTGGTTTACCCCATTAGATATGGGCGTCAAATGGTCCAAACACCATCGTACGGGAGGCCGGCTAACCACCCGTGAGTCGAAGGTAAGGTAGTTTTAACGACAGACTATTCAAAATTAGTGGCAATATACGAATTCTCATTCAGATTGGGTAAACCGTGAGTAAACTGCGAGCCTGGACAGTTCACTTACTAGTAACGAAGACTGTGTCGCAAAAATGTTTCTCGATTGAATCGGTTTGTTCTCACAACCACCAATCCCGTCCAACTCAATCCTTATTTCCTCGACGAAAGGCAGGAATGTAGCGACAAACCTGAGTCGCTTCTCCATATGCACTACACGTTTCGGATCATACCACTTGTTCTCCCTGAGTTGAACACTTGGACCCCCCACACAAACAGAATACTTTGGTGATTAGGCTGTACTTACGCGTGACAGAAGCCACCACAGTTCATAAAGATCTGTCCAAAAGGACGAACATGATGTAACGTTTAACAAGACAGCTTTTCATTAGGCTTCCTCTTCTTCCTATTAAACTGCTGCTGCAAGTCGTCATGCACATGGATTGGCACTTGGAAAGTTCCAGCAATTTACGCGGCACAAACTAGAAGGAAAATTCGAAGTCACCAAGTTCAAGTGAACCACTAATTGCATTAGTAAACTTGGTGAGGCCCAGCGCTGTTTACGGTTTTAAAGGTGCTACAGGCTTTCGCGAGTAATGATGATTGTGTATTGGCAATAGGACAGTAACATTGGGGCTATTTCGAGTCAAGGGATCTTTTAAAGGGCTTCTCTACAAGACATTTGCGCTGTGGACAACTGAAAAATCATGATATTCGAAAGCAAACATGTCTAAAACGAAAATTCAGCGCTACAAGCCACGGCATCCCGATTTTGATCATCATCGATAGAAATGCACCTTTATTAACTATCAGTGTCTAACTGCCATGAAAGCAGTCATTCCCTGGATGACCGCCAGAAGTGCTTATCTCTGGGTTTTATGGAAGAGTTATCTTTAAATGAGGTGTGAGGGGATTGAAAGAGGATGATGAAGAAAGATGGATGTCAACAGTCACGCGCTTTCACTTATCTCTTTTGTCGTATATATTGAACCAGGAGATCCCGATGACGTCACCTAGGGACGGTCGATGTGGGATAAAGGTACTTTCGTTTGTGTAATTAAGGACTGTGGGTAGGCTCAGACACAGAGTACCCGAACCTAGACAGGAAAACCTCCAGGGCCCTCAGCCAAAATCTTCGGCTCAAAAGCCTGATAGCAAGGCGGCGGTGGCTGAAATAAGGCTACCACAGCAGTGAAGCATCGGTGTTGAACACTGATGTCATGCTGCCGGTGATGATGATGACCACAGCAGTATAACCTTTGGGAGACAAGTTACCACAGTTCCTCCAACCCCCAACCTAAAGAACCAGGAAACTCTGATCTCTGTTCACTGACCAACCTGATAAGAGACATTGCGTCCTGCACGAGCATTCTAGAAAATAGCTCAATGGATTGTTGAGGTACCACGATAAGGTCTTATCTCTTCGTGCAGTCACACTGAATTGAAACTGGGGCTGTAAGCCACGACTGATGGAGAGGAGTGATTTACATGTAACTCGTCATTCCTTCGAGCGTAAACCAGTACACTGGGCTACAGCTCGCCTTCGATCTCTAATGAAGACCCATAGCTGACCAATGGCTCCAGCTGGGAAAATAGGCCTGGACTGCTCATCCAGACACACATATCCATAGGATTACGTCACGAGGTAAGGGAACGTCAGGCGACTTCTGATTCAAAACGGTACGTTGAAAAGTAAAGAGGTGATGGCAGTCAGCGCGAACGTGGACATATCGATGGGTTGACGGAACTGACGGGCATTAAAGGTAGAGGGCATTTGTTTTTGGAAACAATGACGCTCTCCGTTGCGAAAGCAAATAAGCACATAAATGGGAGATTATTCTAGCCTGCACATAAGGAGCACCAAAACGGTTCGCTTACCGCAACCCGGCAACAGCATCTTTAGCTCGTGTGGCTAGTCGACCACCACCGAGCATTGTCTGAAGAAGGGCAGATTTGAACTGTGGAGCACTTGGCTTGGCAGAGTGTATCGTGGAGTCGTCCACGTTGTCGCACACCTGCTTAATTGGGCTGAGGGGGACAGAACCTGGTGTAGAGACAACGGAAGGAGATACGTCTGATTGCGGCGCAGGTGAACCGGTCGAGGGAACTTCAGGTGTGATGTGATCCTCCAAACTGTCGATAACGTGGGAATCAGTATTCTCGACAGGTTGTACAGCCAAATCCTCAGATGCAAAGTCACCATTAGGGGATTCCACGGCTACCTGGAAGGTGGAAAGGACATTGAAATTAACAGAAACAGGTGTTCGAATAACCATTAGTGGCGTGAAGTTCCCCCGAAAAACCTGATTCTAGAAAACTGAAAAATAAGGCGAAATGGCCACCACAGAAAAGTCACATTACCTTGAAAAGTGTAATAAAATGCTGTGTAATACCCACACCTCCATGAGTCTACAGAAGGCTATCATTATTTGTTAACATTTCCATCTGAACAACAAACAACGAATTCGACAATGCGGAAAAATGAGTAATTTCCACAAGTCTTTATTGACATTCAAACGAAAAATTCATCGAACTACAATGAGCTACCGGGAAATATCGATTTCAGGACGTGCCTTCATCGACTGCAAAACAGTGGAAGCGACTCGAAACAGACAAAACTGCGCAGCCTAGCATGTGACGGGAATGCTTATTGATGGAAACACAAAACTGAAAATAACACAACCGTTGTTTAATCAAGATTTTCGGTAATAAGTTTGATCCTTCGGAAGAATCGATAATGGTGAAATCAGTCACAAGTAGTCAGATTGTCTGAATCACTTAGCAGTTGGCCAAAAGACGTTAAACCTATGGGAAGCATCAGTTCTATCAATATCGGTGCCAATAGTAAAGGATACCTAATAAATCCTGAGCTACAAATCTGATAATCGTGAAAGTATGCAGGACCAGAGGGAATTTGTCAGGGATAGCGCTCGGAACGTTGAACCCCTCCATCTATCCAGTAGTCGCGAGAAGTGCGCATGCCTTAAAGAAAGCGTTCAGCTGTAGCACCCTTCCGGTGCATAGCTGCCATGCCACGCGAATGAAGTAGACCATAAACTAAGTATGTTACCTATAGCCATTAGTTACATTCACCATGAACAGGAATAACCTTACCCTAGGCTACAATACGATATAGTAAACTGATTAATGATCTACGCTGTCGAACTGTAAAATAACCTATCAACAAGTCATCAGATATTGATAGTGACACCGGTAGTCACAGTCGCAAGTGCAATAGTGAAGATGGCGCTTTTGGCTATAACATTAGTGACTTGCACCTGACTGGTGGTAAGCAACATCTCACACACAGATACACATATTCTCTATCACGTTCATTATTTCGGTATGCGGTAAGAACAGAAAAAAACTTTCATTCACATTCTGGCCGGAAGCTGCCAGCTGACGGAAAATTCTCTTTGCTACCTATATGGAGCTCCTAATTCTAGGTAATGTCCGTCTGATCGCCTAGAAGAATGCATGGCCACTTGCATCATTGAACGACCGAACAGAAGCAGCCTATTCTGTGGGGGGGGGGGCAGAGCTGATATCTACTGAAGGCATCCTCTCCAGAGGGGACAACTACACTACCTATCGCTAGTTTGCTTCACAGCATTAGAAACTGGCATATCCAGCCACGAAAGCCGCAAGAAAGCGCAGGACAGCTCATAGAGGTAAGAAGGTTATGATTTGGATGTCATCTTCACTTCGTTAGACAAAGAAAGAAGTATTAAAAACACACATGACAGCGTTCAAAATATAAAAATGGAGGAATGTCCTAACCAACTATCACCTGTTGAGGCTTCCTGGATTGATCCAAGTTATCTGTGAGAGTAAAGCAGACAGGGGCTTCTGTGGATTCTGACGAGGCAACTGCTATGGAATGGGGCTCCTTATCTGCAACAGGGATATCGTGGTCCGCACCGGCTCCCTCTGTTGTCAAAACGAGATCTGTCTCTGCAAGCTGTAAAAGTTTCGAATCGGACGCATCCCCCTGAGGTGTGTCGGTTTTCAGGGCATGCGACTCATGTCCGAACAAGAAGGGAGTTGAAGCCGAACTGGGTGGTGAAGAAGCACTTGGTTTGGGTGTTTGCTTCACTCGTGCCATTATATCTTCCAGTCGCTGCTTCCGTTTGATACGTTCCTCTTCAGCACGTTGCAACTTCATAAGTCTTTCGGCTTCCGCTGCACGAAGCTGAAAATGGTTGAAAATGAGGGATGGAAGCCGCGACATACGGTACGTCATAATAGTCGTCAACACAGGGTCGTCTTAAAGGCATCATAAAGAACAATACGAAAAACAGTAAGTATTCACTTAATTAACAAACTGGGAGTCGAAAGGGGCAACAGTCCAATGGAATACGCCCGTGACACATCCATCCTTAACACGCTGCGAGCAAGCAGCAACAGATGACAGCACGACAATCACCGATCTAGGGAAACTAGCATCAGTACATCAAGTAACATGGAGTCAGTGTTTGAAACAAAACACAATACACATCGACACAAATGCGCACACTGTAGGGTGGTATTGCACTTACCAGTAAAAACGATTATTACACGTGAATGCATTTAGCTACCAACTGCACACCCACTACCGAGGAATTATTATTGACTGCGAAGGAGGGAAAAAAATCGCCCGGGCGCACACCTATACGGCGACCATTCTAAGTGGGCATCGAAATCCAATCACGGTTTTTATGGGGGTGAGGAGACAGTTCCTGATTTTTTTTTATTTTGGAGAGTAATCGGTATTTTAACCAATTTAGGCACACAGTGAGCAGACATCTGCTTTGGGGAATCCAGTCCACAGTACCAGAGAGATGACATGTCAAATAGTCCTGAACTGCCTCCTCTCACCGATATTTACGCTTCCCTGCTACTTGGAAGCACTGTTCAAGTGTCATACTGCGTTGGTGACAATCAGCTATACAGCTTTCTGACCTCTTGTTTTTTCCTATTTGCGCGAACTACTCCTTCTGCTCTGTTAAGCTCTGCAGAACAATCTGTCGCCAACTGGTCAAAAGTGATTTCCGCTGTACTCACCACTCATACCCATCTGGATTTAGTCAAGACAAAGACAGCAACGGATAGATCTGGAACACCAGGATCAATCCATTGTACCGTTAACCCAGAGCAAACTTTACGCCAGTTTGTCATTTGTATCTAAGCCGGCCTCGGAACCCACTTCAAGTAGCTGAGCGGACATTAATGCATCTTTCAGCGTTTTACGAAAACCACTAGTGGGAAACTAATAACTACGAGAGAACATATTGGCAGATTGACAAATGCACCGAAGGTCAAAACTATGTCCCATCATCCTACAAAAACGGCTCATGTGATGTTTCGGATAAGACGTGACGTGTGTTTAGTCCTGTTCGGCCCGTGAACTTGCGTGAACATACACATCTTTTAGAAGGTCCTATTGAAGGTCTATTGAAGGTCTTCAATTTTTCGTTTTGACAGTAACACAGGCGATTTCGGATGTCCTGAGAGTACTGGTAAACGGATAATAAGATTATACGCTGGATAACGTTTCAAGGTTGCTTGTTACCCGTCCGCTCGGAAAAGTTATCATTTAATATACATGTTATGGAACTCCATGCAATAGGTAACAAGTGGAAAATAAACAAGATTACACAGCAGTCAGTGTTTACAGGGAGGAGACACATTCAAAAACAATTGGAAATCACTAGCTAGTACACTAGGCGTATTCTATTGGGACTGCACATTTCTACCGGAATCACCACCATTGATTTGATGGTCGCTAAAAAGGGTAATTCTTTCTGTGAGGCGAAGCGTGTGAAGCAGCGTAATAGCTACGTTTTCGTGTGTATACGCAGTTTGGAGCCTTGTGATGTGTTGTGTTAGAGCCAGCGGTTAGTAAACCTGAAATCACCCGACTATAGCTAAAAAGTTAGGTATACTCAATTTACTGGCTGTTTGGCTTGTTCGGTTCAGTTCAGTTGGTCAGCAATATTGTGTGCCGGAAGTGCGTTGTAATAGTCGTGGTATCTGTTGTGGTCCGAGCGAATGAGAGGAAACACATGCACTGAATGAGCCTCAGTTCCAATTCCCGCATAGCCACGCCTAACAAGTCTGGTGAAAAAAACACTATTGGCTGCGTGATTAAGCCATGCCTAGCGGTGGTTAGTATGGCTCCGAGGTCCTCAACCATAGAGGCGGAAAATGCCAATGCAAGTTGGCTCGGTATTTGTGAAATTAGACAGCTGGCTGGGTAGTTAAGTGTCCAGCAAGCAGGCTAATCTATCATGTACGTCTTGGAGAGACCAATGTGCGGTGACTTCGCAGGTGAAATTCAATAGGGAAGAAGTGCAGTATTGCCATTAGGAGATGAAAAAACAACAAGAATAGTGGGCTTATAGAGGACATAATTTGAGCTGCAAACTGGAAAGCTGACATGGGGGGGGGCTTAAAAGGGACACACGAATAGACGAGTGTAGACACAAACACCATCCTTGCAGAGAGGAACTGAGACGTTGCAAGTGAATGGAGCCAAAACTACGAAAATTCCAGGGTCAGTGAGGAGCACGATGAGTGGGATAAAGGATGATTGACTGATTTGACGTCACTGTTCAAGCCACACATCCCGCAGAGTGAGGGGACTGGAAATTCACTTTGTGTGCAGGAACTCTACTGAATAACTTGTTACTTTTTGGCAACCCAATTTTGGAGCTTGAAATAGTGGACCACACAGAAGTCCCATAGGTTAAGCGGTGACACTTTCCTGAATAACGGCGGTAGATACTGTCTTAGAATAAAACAAACATATTTAAGAACTTCCAAGAGGTAAATTTCATGAAATATCAATGACGACCACCTTAGCCTTTTCAGCTTCATCCTTCAACCTTTGTGCCTCAGCTGCCTCTCGCTCAGCCTGTTCCATTCGTTCCCTTTCAGCTTGTTCGGCAGCGAGGCGAGCGGCCGCTTCTTGCAATTGCAACTGTTGTTGCGCTTCCAGGAAACGGCTGTTAGAAACACGGGAAACATACAAGCTACATGGTAAGCGACAGAAGCACTCGAGAGAATACAAATAGCATCGGAAATGATGACAAATGAAACGGTCTGAAATCCATAGAGATCTGAAGCGTGAAACTGCTTGCTATGGGGTTGATGGGTGGTCGGAACCGGGAGTTACATACACGTTATTGTCCTATTGCGTAAGGTGGTGCACTAGGAACATACCTCCATCTGAAAAGAGTTGTGGATTGTCCAACATTCATTCAACGTGTTCTGACTCTTTGGTCAGCACTTGGCCTCCCTCAACAACCAATTCGCGTTAACGTGTGAACGCATAACCAAACTAACACCATGACTAGTGTCTTTAGGTACAAATAAATTGAGTTCACTAATTAAAATGGAGGACGAAACCTGGTTAATTTAAAATCCACAGCGCCCCTCCTGTTCCTTTGGTTTCCTCCTACAAAAACAGAATTACGAAATGCCATTTTTGCTGTCAGTGACGGTTGGTTTTCTCCCAGTACATGAAGTCTATAGTTGAAAGAACTGGGTTGGCAAGTTTCGAGCAGAGCTGGGAAGTGAAACCCAAAACTTTGTCTGGTAAACAGAAATGGAGGGACACTTATCCCAGGATCAAATTTCCAATAAGCTGAAATACAGTTATGCAAACATTATAGTGCGCTATCTTATCTGCTTAATACCTTCAAAAACCTAGTTTGCGCTAGATAATCCTAAAAAGACATGGTAGATAGGGTATACTGCAACACATTTCAGCTTTGTATCCAATATAGAGCGGTGAATTCCCAGAAACTTATACCGCTTTTTCTTCGAAATTTCTATTCTGACTGTAATCATTGCGAGATACCTCGATCGAAAAGCACACACAGCAGCTGGCTCAACGACTTGGAAGCGGGAGATAAAACATGAATCGAACAACAATACTTCTTAGCAATACAAAGGTGAAAGCAATAATCGTTTTAAATGCACGAAACAAATCTGAATAAGGCCCGCTGTTTCTCAAAGTAGCACTTAAACCTGCCAGGCTATAACCATCAGACCAGGCGAAATTTAATAATCCAATTAATGACTGGGTCGTTCTGAATGACTGATTAATGATGTCAAACCATCATCAACCGTGAGAAGCGCTATTTGAACACCACTGTACTCACATTGTTACAACACTAAATGCTTTACAAACCTTCCTCGTCACGAGTAGAGCACGACACAGAGAACACAATTAAACCATGTGAAACACGTGCATGTGTTGAAAAGGCACCCACAGGAAACAGAATAACACACGCGAATTGTGCGCGAAGATCACTGAAAAAGAATTTAGGGGAACTTTGCAGGGCTCATTAATCTTCACAGATTTAACTAGGTAATAGCAACAGCGACCACCGTCTCCTAACAGAATTGCGTATTTGTTGAGTCTGCCCCGCGGCTTCTACAGCCGAAGATGATGATCGGCTTCGTAGAAACGTTTAGCATGAACGATGATAAGCTATCAAAAAAAGAAAAACCAAATCCCGCACTATGAGCAATTAAACTGCGAGGCGGTCTGGGGGATAAAACCCTACGGTTTCACACAACAGGAATGTTTCTGTCAGATAACCAGCACTTCCATATTTATGGAAGCAGAGATGCTGCTTTATAGCCTGAGCTTCGACATTGAACAACCGAGGCCAATCATTCAGGTACCTGACGATCCTTGCTATTAGAGGTTCAGCCTGTCCTAAGGTGGGGTGAATAACCTTCTAAAAATAGGTATCTAACTGATCAATGGGACCGAAATTAAGGGCACAAGAATGTCAGAAAGTCTATTGAAATGAAGAAGCAAAACCACTGAAATGAAGGTATTCAACGAACCAGTCTTCTGCAAGTGGAGCAGAACAGAAGGCAACAAAAACACGGAGGAAACTAATGAAATTACGCTTAAGTTAACCCTTAAGCAATCAACCACGTTAGAGAGCGTTGACGCCTCTTGGGAATCATGTTAACTCCAGTGGTCGTGTAATAATGAGGCAACATAGTGACTGCCTAAAAATTATCCAGCTGTAGCACCCTTTCAGGGCCTAGCTGCCATGCCACACAGAGGCACAAGGGCTGAGATACTGCCAGGTCGCCCAAGCCTAGACAGGGGAAGTCGAGTGGCAGAGGTCGGGTTCGAACCATGACTGCTTGGTATGTACGTCTCTCAACAATCTTCATGGGCTTGCTCAACATTGATCCTGACCATATCCCAGATAACTGCAGACCCATACGAAGGTATGTCTCACCAATCGGCGTAAGAAGGCAGAACACCTAGGGGGTGATTTTATTGATGTATAAAACAGAAAATATGTCGAAGGCGGGATATCTGCTAAAGTATTAAAATTCAAACCGACAGAATCTGACTCGTACCATTTAGGAAGCTTAAATATTCCAAACAGTTGTTCCACCGTTCTAAGGAAAACGGTAACTGTTGAGGAATTAGCCTTCTCTGAAATACATGGAAAATATTCATACACACTCCGCTAAACCGATTGAGTGCTAAAAATCTGGAAGAAAAACTTCATGCAAAACAATGTGGGGTCCGAAATGGATAAAGCAAGATTGATCATACCTTTGCAGCGCGTAAGTGGCGAGAAAAGTGCTAGGACCGTACCAGACATATGACCACCTAATCCCAAAAAAGCTGTTGCCTGTGAGCCGTTGGAATAGTCTCAGTCCATCGAGTGATCTACCAAGGAAACTATTGAAGTAAGCAGAAGATCCACTGAGCCAAGATGCCACTTAACACTATTGGGAAAAATGAGTCACAATTGATATGAAAACTGCTCTACTCATCTTAATGTCAACTGTTAGCAGTTGAGGGGAATATGGAATGTCCTAGAAACACACACACGGCAGTGAAGCATCAGTGCCAACACAGATGTTGCTGTCATTGATGATGATGATGACAGAGTGCCTCAATACTCTATAACAATGCGGTTCTGTTCGCACGCTGGAAAGTTGTCTGTGATATCAACGCATACAAAGTTCATTAAAAAGTGGAAAGAAGCGCTCTCAACATGAAGCATCATGCCAACACAGATGTTGCTGTCATTGATGATGATGATGACAGAGTGCCTCAATACTCTATAACAATGCGGTTCTGTTCGCACGCTGGAAAGTTGTCTGTGATATCAACGCATACAAAGTTCATTAAAAAGTGGAAAGAAGCGCTCTCAACAATATTCATTTGAGGGAAGCTTGAAACAGATGTGCTATTAGGTTGACGACGATTGATCTCACATCACGATGAACCGAGTTCACAGTCAAGTGTTGAAAAGACTCCGTTGGAATCCACAAGAGATGAATAATTTATGTCCCTGCGCTGGCAGATGCACATACAAAAAGTGTATCGTCCATTGCGGCAGGCAGGTCAACAAAACAAAGATGAATGGCAACCTGTCACCCAAGATCATGGTATACAATATGGTGATTGGATGGTATGCGAACGGCAAGTTGACTTTTGTGTAGGCTTTTATTAACATGGACCATACACAATGAAGACACTGACGCTTTGCTTCGTGAATGAGAGCCAAAAATGAACACGGCGTGCTTATAGACGAAAAATGGAACTGTCCCTGAACGCCAAAAAATTGGGATTTTTCACAAAAATGATGGTGGAATTTGTCTATGCTTCGTTCCGAAAACACTTCCTAATTAACGCTTGCTCAGATGCTGCAAATGGAGCATTCAAAAACTTGCCATGGTTTCAGTCAATTTTTTCAGCTGTCCTACTTTGACCGTTGAATCCTTCGATTGATCAGTTTTACAGAGTTCCCGTATGCTGTGAACATTCTCCCGGATGGGGGAAGTTAGGGCCGTCTGTCCCGTGGCCTGGTTTAGCCTGGGCAGCACGGTTTCTTGCAAAAACCGAATGTTGGTGAACGGTGTATGAACTTCCATCAGGCCACCAGAAGCCGAAAATCCCTGGTCCCCGACAGGACTATATGAACGTGTAGAAGCTAGGCAAAGACGATTACTTGAACAAATGTCAGGTGATACCGGGGCATCATTGGTAGTAGATCCGTGTAAGATTCCACGCAAAGCCGGCTTACTTTTCCAGAGAAGCCCCCTACTGATTCTACTGCACACAGGATGGTTTAGTCTTTGGCTGCTACATCAAACGATGCCGACAAGTGGTTGTACAAAATGGGCTGGACGATAGATGGTTTACGCTGAGTAGCATATGGAGCTATCTGTACGGATTCTAGTCGGTGGAAGTCGAGGGGAATAGAGCTGGAATATGGGCATTCCAAGAAGGTTGCGAAATTGCGGTTCAACCGTGAAATACTACAAATTGATGCCAAGAATTATAGGCCTAACACGTTCCAAGATAACGCACGGTCCAGACAATCGAAAATGCAACAAGCAAAACATGCTAAGCCTCCTTATGCCCCACAATAACACCAGCATCCTGCACAGCGAGCGCTCTAAGCTGGATACCTCGGACTTTCCTGCCCGGGAGTAATTGAAATAGAGAATTGGAGAGACGATATTAGGGAGGGGCAAGATGGCTCAGTAGTTAGAGCGTGAATTTTTTGACCGGAAGGTCCGCGGTTCGAACCCGACCTTCGCCTCTCGACTCCCCCTGTCTAGGCTTGAACGATTTGGCAGTATTCCAGCCCTCTTGCTTCCTTCTGGTGGCATGACAGTTAGGCACCGAAAGAGTGCTTCAGCTGAACGAGATGCTTAAAAACTCCGAGAGATTTTATTTTTGAAAATCACAGCCAACGGTTCAACGGCATGAAATAGTGCGAGTGTTTTTAAGTTAAATAAACAAATGGTCTACATCGATTGGATTAACGTGTGAAACCCAATGGTGATGCGAAAGTTTAAACAATAAAAGTGGTAATCATCGAACCTTACTTAGTTGGTAGATCTAAATGAACGCTTCAGAATGTAAATAAACAGGCTTGTTCTTCAGGGTGCATGCAAATGTTATGAAAACGAAAATCCAATTTGTGAGAAGGGACCTCATCATCCCATTTGCAATTCTTAGCGAGCGATTATTCAACATTGTGATTTAATGTCAGGATGATCAGAGTCAAGTTTTGTCGCTAGGAAGGCCAGATCACCATTCGAGGGTCACCGCAAGCTTACATCATCTTCTGAATGTTTACTTACTGTTTTCATAATCTGGGAATCCATTGGCGAGAATTAAGATAGTTCATCTCGAATTAACCCAAATGTCGGTCCTTGAGATAAGCCCACAAATTTTAGCGGAGTGAAGTATACGGAAAAGTAAGCGAATGGGGATTGAATAAGCCATTACATTCACTCAATGCACTAGGAGGACGATGAGTGAGCCTTACACCAGAGTGGATGGTGAAAATCAGATTTAATTATTTGGGGAAATGTGGTGTTCAGCAAACACCTGGGGGATTCGAAACACGGGAAACATACGCTAGATGTTTATGATGTCACTACCCACACGCCATTATCCTAAAAGGCTGCCTTCGACTGGATGTAGCTGTTCTATCCTTGTTGGAAATTATCAGCGATTCTCATGAATGTAAGAGGGGATTTGAACCAGTGACTTCGCCGTCGGTAGCTGAGCCCTATCCAAAAAAACATTTGTGATTCACACAAACTAAAATCTACGGACATACCGCTGTTCCTCCTCTTTGCGCTCCTTAGCCAAACGACGTTGTTCGGAGAACTTTGCCCGATAGATTGCAGCTTCGCTTTCTTTCAAAAGGCCGCCTTCACCAGACCCTTGGATTTCAGCTTTCAAGGGTTGAGAGTAGAGTTGAGTTTCGGTGACAGGGGAATCAGGTTTGGTCGAGTTCGTAACTTCTGTCGATTCATCAGTAACAGTCAGATGGTCGAAACCGACATCCGTCTGCTCATTTGACGGTTCTGAAACTTCTGGCACTTCTGATTGATCGACATTGGTATCCTTAGGTGCAGTAGGAGCAACATCTGAGCTGAGGTCAGGTAAGAACTCCGTAGGCTTTGGTTGCAGGAAAAAGCAGGATTAAAATAAACCGATAGAGTTTAAGGTTCGCTGAAGTGTAAAGTCTTTTCACAATAACAATGCTGTTCAGGTTCGGGATCTGGCCCGAGGCACAGTGAGTAATCAAACAGGATATAGCCAGCTGGCATTGACACGGACCAATACTAACGAGAACTTATCTCCTTATTGTCTCATTCTTGATGCTCTACACAGAAAAGTACCAACAGTAGTCCAAAGGATGGTTTAGCCTGTGACACGACAATGTGGGCAGCTTACTGTGGGCTCAATTGAGACTTCAATCAACAGGGGCGAAAATGGTTATCTTAATGCTAAACGTTTTTGAGCCGTACCTCGTCCGCAGGCGCTGGTCTTGGTTTAGGTGACATAGAACGTTTACGGGCGGGTTTTTTGTTGATGACCGAGGCTTTGCATTCGGTGCGATCTTGGTAGACTGAAACCGACATGGCCTTCGAAATAGATCTTGTGTTTGGGGGACGTTTGACGTTGAGAGCGTCTGAAAAAAACATAACAGAGACACACTGGTTTACAGCAGAACACGATCGGAGCGTTAAGATGGGAAGAGGGAAAGGAGACGACCGACCAACCCAAGCAAAAAGCACATAACAAAGATACACGTGTTGCACTTAAGTCAGGGTGAATGCTTCTCTGAAGGAACGAAGGTAGCGATGTGTAGGCCTTATGACGATCTGACCAAGACACCATTTGTGAAAATGGGAGGATAAATTCGGTGATCAGAAAAACCGGCAGGAGTGAGTACCACATAAAACAACTGAAGTCAGGTTGAAACCAAGTGATCAAACCTAGATGAGGGCATATCAGAAAAGCAGAAATGTTTTGAAACAGGGAGCACCATAAAGACCTTTGTCAGTGAACCTAAATGGAAGAGGATCAGAAACAAACTCACTCATCGATCGATGCCAAACGGGGTAAGCTAAGAGAGAATGAGCGTAAAAATTGAGTCTGAAAAGCTGAGATATTCCGTCAGTGGAATCAAACTGTGTGCTGATTATGCGTAACCTAAATCGTAACAACTCATGTGTGAAGACATGCTGCCTTTACATCAAGGACGTTGAAGGTCAGGGCTTGAGTTGTGAAAGTTATGAAGCTTCGTAAAACCCTCGGCTACAACAAGGGCTAGCGACAACTTCAGCACTGTCATGAAGCTGTCAGAAAATGCACCTGCGCACCAGGTGGTGTTTCAAGGTGTGCAGCGGCACAAGCGTCAGATCTGCTGTTACTGAAGTTGAACTCAGATTTTCGCAGAATTCAGTATGTGAAATGTGAAGCTGTAAGGATGGAAACGCCTTCGGATCTGAGGACAACTGCGACTATATGCCATGAAGAATATCCTAGTGCCAACTGCGAGAACGCCAATTTTCTCACGGAAGGAGTTTTCGGACAACCTCAAGCTGGTGTGCCCCGAGATACTGCTTTACACTCAGTGATGACGGGGGCCTCATCCACAAACAGTAGAGCTTCTTCGTTGCTGAACAATGAGGGTCCGTCTTCTGCGGACGAATCAAATGATCAGACACTGAATATCACTGCGAGAAGAGGCAATCCTCAATATGCCTTCAAGGTGCAACAAGTAGCGCAAGCCTTAAAGATCAAGGCATTGGGTGTCAGGGCTAAGGCAACATTCTAGGTATGCATAGTGTTCCGCAGCTTTCAGCATGCATCCTTGATTCCGTAGAGATGTACAAGTCCGGCAGCATGGCGTTGTGAATGCCGCGTATTGTGAGTTCTCTAAAATGGCGGAGCAAATGAAGGATGTGACTTTTATTCACTGGTCCGCCGTACCGCCTATCAGAAAAGCAAACCACCCTCAGCTACTTTAAGAAGTATCCTCAGGAACTCCCGAGGATTAACAAAGAGCTCAGCCGATTTATGAATATACGCAAATCGCGGGAACAGCTCAGGAGGACGCGCGGGCTATCTGGAGTAGTCGTCGTTCTCGTATGCGACTCGAACAAAACCATGCGGAAATGCGTTATCACCTTGGGAAAAATCAACGCATTTGTTGGATCAAGTATCTCAACATCGTCTGTGCAGTAGACAGAACAGTACAAATGAAATGGTCAAATGTGCAGCAAACACATCACCATCATTGTAGACAGTAACACATCACGAGTAAATATTGAGGCTTAAACGCCATACAACCAACAAGCAGGTAGGTGCCAGTAAATAATAAAGCAAAGGATGAATGGCAACTTTTTGCAAAAAGCCTCGTGCCCTTAAGGAGGAGCATGTGACGAATTCGGGTTTCGGCTCTCCGATATAAAGGTACACTGCGTCTGGTTTAGTCTGAACTCAAGCTCGACGCGATAATAATCAAGGGGAAAGTGATTTAACCCAACTGCATGTATTACAATCGTGTTTTCTGAGTAACGTGGCAATAGCTCAGAGCCTGTGCCTCCTTTAGAGTTGAACTATAGCTGTCCTCCAAAACAGTAATCCAACAGACTTGACTGTAACACTGTGCGTGACCTTGAAACGTAAACGTGTCTGACCTGGAAAACGATCCACTCATGTATCAGCCGGACATGAACATTCAGCCCGCTTTCTTGAGAGTAGAATGGTAGCAAATGGTCGATTGTGCGTCAGATACTTTACGGACGGTGAGCGGGGATTTATTACCACGTCTGAACATGTGGTGCTCTTAATGGATACCGAAAAGGCGTCGCATATGCTCTGTCTACACAGAAGCCTGGCAGAGGCAGGTGGGGCGTAAAGGACAGTAAAACATACCTACGGGTCGGGGAACTCAACAATACATTCCTCTCACCTAAGATGACGGACACTGGGACCGGAGTAGAGCCAGGAATTTGTATTACTGATGAGCTCTGATACGAGCGGAATCGAGTCCAGCGATTCTTGCTCGGTTTGGATTAAGCAGAACGCCCGTGTCAAGAAAGGAGGGAAACGGATCAAACAGTGAGGTGGATGCGAATCCGGCGACTCGCAAGGGCTGTGGTTGGTGGTTTCAAGTTGCAACCTTGTAGTTCCTACTGTTGCGTCACAACAGCAATTAATACGCTGCACAAAATAAGGTACCCACAGTACAGTCTAGTAAAATTAATTTGTTGTTTTTGTCCATGGGGGTAGGTGGTTTGGTCCCATAACTTGTACTAGAAACCAACTAGAAACGGACAAATGACATGAGTCACTGCCATGTCTGGAACAGCGGAGTAGGACAAAAAATGGGAGATTCAGACACCCATAGCTTCCCTACCTTAAGAAGTATACAATCCGAACAAGTGTACTTCTGTTTCGCAGTCTAAGTCTCCGGGACCCAAACCGGCATATCTTTACCGTAGAAAGCAATGCACATACCGCAGCAGCAATGAGTCATTTCCACCAATAATCAAACTGCTGAACTCATTCTACTGTTACGGTACGGTGATCTGGTTAAATACAACTTTCGAGCCAGAAACAACTTATTTCAGGCCACTGGGATTCAATTTTTTAGCGTTTGTTCCCAACTTGCAAAATTCACTGCAGCTCAACAACAGTCTTCGAAGAGCTCAGTAAGAACTAGAGACCGAGAAGCATCATTCAGTGGTTGAGGTGAGAAGGATTGATGACAAGGCGATACCCACAGCAGTGCAGACTGTACGTTTTACCACCACGCAGTAGGCTACGGTAAAATTACCTGGGGGCTTCTTTGAAGTGGCGGATGAGGTAGCTGGTGGCTTCGCTGGAGCTGAACGGTCCGCAGCAACTTTGGAAGAAATATTTCGTCTTGGAACTTGCGAGGCCAACCGCTCGAACACAGATCCGGAGGTGCTGTGGGTTGAATTGGAGTTTTTCGGTAGCGCATCTACTGAGCTGGATCTGCTTGAACCTAACATTGAACTGGAGCAAGATTCGACAGTGGAACGCGCGGAAGCTGGATAAACGGCGTAAAATACGAAACAGAAAGTGTACATGGTGTACGGAGCTTTGTCAACAAAAACAGCTGGCAGATTTTCACGGCGTTTAAAATGCGGATTCAACTGTGGATTTCCCCATCCACAATTTTTCACGAAAGGATTTTTTCTAACCGTGGGGTCATTGCAACAGCTACCAGAAACAAGTATGAATTCTACTCAAGTTCGCGTATTTTCCATTCAGCTGAATCCACGACTACCAAGAGAGAAAACATGGGTCCACAGATCTTAACATCCCGAGTTCAATGAAAAAAGCCCTATTCGTCAGTTGGGGTTTAGTGCGAAGACCGCTCGGTCATCGAGTAGGAGGATGGTTGTCTGATCGTATTAGACAAACCAACGACCTGGTTTGATTTGAGCAACGGCAGTTTCCTCAAGGTAACAAAACCACCTGAGTACGCCTATAAGTTACAACCGGTTCCACGGTTTTGCGTCTACGCACAGTCAGATAAGTCACTCAAGCAGTTAAGGTGCGAAATGGTCTAAGATAATATGGAAGTTAGCGAACATTTATGGTTCAATCTGAAAGGAACGTTTGCTTACACTGGGTTTTGGTCACTTTCAATTCCTGGTGTTATTGAGCTCAGACGACTATCTCGGTAACCGGCACTCTCCTTTACGGAAAACCCGGTAGGGCAAATAGGACCGTTTCCGCAAATATTCAGAAATGCGCAGCGAAAGACCTAGCCGACACATCCAGTGTATGTTGAACTGGAAACTGTGTGGCCACTAAAACGCCTGCCAAAACTCTTCGACCCACATTAGTCCCGGTAGGACATCACTCGTTCTCACATGCACGTCGGCGTTTCTGGATCACCAGTTTGGGACAGGAAGCCATCCATCATCTATGCCACGACCAACATCTCGTGTTACTACAATAGCACCCTACTCTAACCACTTGGTTGAGATCAAACTGCCGTCACGAGAGACGGCTGGACTTCCATGCTTCCGATCAAAATATTGTTTACGGAGACTCTACAGATCCAAAATAGTTGTATTTATCACGAGCTACAACTAAAAACCGTGTTGTTTGCTGCATGCCCTAAATCTTACAAAGGTACAACCACCGGTGACATACAGTTGAGGGTTGTTCCTGAAGGCGCAGGGTACGTGCAGTATCATATTGCACTTCGAGGACACAAAGGTCCTTCCTAGCTTAGTGGTAACGTGATTTTCTATCAATCAGTTAAAATCACACACAAGGTGTAAAGCAGGATTCAGACCCATATGGTAAACGAGTGACATTGGAGGGGATGATGACTGAAGTTTGTCCCATTTGGTAGTTAAAGTAATCCGGACGGCAGTATGAGAGTGCAGCACCTCTTTATCAGCCTATTCTCCGGCAGTCTTCCTGGCGAGGTTGATCACTGAGGAACGAACTTTTCAGCAATCCTGACAACCTACAAGCCTGGATATTACCACTAAAGCAACGGCGGTCGAAAATAACCATAGCTAAATACTCACATTTTGTCTTGACGGGAGACCCAACTGAATCGCATTTTTCTCCAACTGAATGTGTTGCACCAGGCCATCTCATGTTTCAGTTGATTCGATAATAGAGATATCGCAACACACTGTGTGGAGGCAACATACTACCCAACTGTGAAACATGAGGCGGTCTAATGCGGAACATTCATTTGAAGAATACCATTAGAAAAAACAAGAGATTGGGTTGGAATCAAGTTTTGAGTGTCAATGGACAATCGAGCGGTACTTAGGGTGCTCTATATCCCGGGTCTTTACAAAAATCACGTAACTGGAGATTGACCGAGGATTGTCTACCAGTGGGTTTGTCTGATAAAGGGCATACCATCACTACAGATAACTAGGGATACGTGTATTTGCCTTGACGTAGTGGCCTCGCAAAAATGCCATGATCCACCTTCATGGTTGCTTGATTAATAAGGAAAAGCCACTGAATTTCGTTACCTGTGTTTGTAAGAGTTATACTGCACCCTCTTCAAGTAAATTTTTCTATCTAACGGGCTTTGGAAACAACGCGAAATGCTCCACAAGATGTTGGAGGAGCACTTGTTTGCGGCAGTAAGGACGTGAGGCCGCAATCGATCGCAGCATCGTTGGGTGACATTGAACTTGCAGTTGGTTCCAATGGTGGTTAACGCTCACTAGATGTAACATTCAGAAAGACCGGCAATCCCATGCGGTCCAGAAACTATCAGGCTACTGCGATTCTAGACAGCTTATGTTGCATTTTGAGTGAGTCACACGACAGCTAAACAAGCCTAGTTTGGTGTGAAAAAACTTGACTGAACAATATCCCGCGTTATGAATCAACTATTAGGCGGAGGCATTCGCCTCTCTATTATGAATAGGTAACAGTGAAAGTAGGCAAAGAAAAAGTCAATTCGTTTGCGCTTTCATCGAATCAATCCACACGAATATCAAGCGACGTGGAGATGTAGATTGAATCGCACAAGACTTGTTGACATTCAAAAGACACTGAAGCCGTGAGAAAGTAACTAAGTAGAGGAAGGTGAAAAAATCAACCAGTAATCATTTTGCAAAAGAGCCTCCGAAATCATACACTGTGGCCAAAGAACGACTAGCTGTAAAACTATATGTGAGATTTTGATTAAAACGGCCGACTTACCGGGTTTTGTCGCTGGCTGTTGTCGTGTCATTCGGGTGGGTTGTGGGGCTGGTCGCCCGATTGCATTACACTCTTGCGATGATGCAGATCGGTTATGGGATACTGTTAAGACAGGAAGGAAAGAAACAGGCAAATAAAGTACGGTAGACCACCAAAGATGTGGCGGATGTGTAGTCGAGAGTTCAAGAGCAATCATTTAGAAATCACGAGATCGGTTGATTATTCAAAAGCCGTGCATCAAACAGGGGATTAACACACCGACTAACAAAAAATGTAACGATGCGCACAAGAAATTGAAAACGGTTAATAAAGCAATAATCAAAGGAAACATTCGATCGAGGAATACGGAGTACTACAAAGAAACACCAATGCGCAATTGGTTTACCATGAAGGATGACAGCACCATGTATGACGCAAACTGCCAAACGTCAAAACCTTCAAGCGTACTACTGGGTCACAACTATATATTCGAAAAGTATTCAACGGAGCGGAAAGGCGAACGACGATCCTTATGGCTACGTGATGGGCTTATTAAAACGGGGACATGTTGATTATCCTTGGCGAAAAATCAATCTGACTAGTGAAATTCATCTGCGCAGCAAATGAAGAAGTCACCATATCGCAACGGATATATAAACGACCCTTTACAGATCAGAGACTGACAACTGACAAAGAAAGATAGGAAATTTGTTGCACTACGGCTCGGAGACATTGTCTGAGTGGGATGGCACTACCAAATCTACCGAAGTCTTATGTAGTCCCCTACATTAGGACTCTGGGTTGAGCTTCCGGCCCTTCAACCGGAAAGCTACAAAAAACAAGCAAAGAAGGTTCTTTTTTCAAAAACGGTCGTATTGCTGCATTCTTCTTGCACGTTTTATACACGGAACTTCTTGATATTGGTGTTGCTCACCTCTGTAAAGTCCCGAGAGGTAAGTTTGAGCGTCGTGTCTCGCACTAGAACATTTTAAACGGAGTTTCCGGATGGGAGGTTCAGGCAGAGTGGTTATCAGAGATGGCGACATCAACGCCCAAACGTTGCTCTACCGTCGTCTTCGACAATGAGCCAGCCAAACGTGACAGTCTATCAGTCACGAAAGCNGTCGTGTCTCGCACTAGAACATTTTAAACGGAGTTTCCGGATGGGAGGTTCAGGCAGAGTGGTTATCAGAGATGGCGACATCAACGCCCAAACGTTGCTCTACCGTCGTCTTCGACAATGAGCCAGCCAAACGTGACAGTCTATCAGTCACGAAAGCAGAACGGACTGGCACCAAACATAAGCAGGTGGAGAAAGACTCATGGAAATGACAAGTCCGTAAGCACACAAGTGATCTGTCCCGTCAGAAACGACTCGGAGAAGAGTATCGATATTTACGTGTAAGACGTGGGTTTCAGACATTAGAGGGTGTGGTTGCACGCAAGCAGTTAGGATTTTCGTGCAGAAGAATGGTCAAACTGCCCAGTAATGGGCGTGGCCATCCAGGGTACTTCATTGAAAAGTTCACGGGGGAGGTGGAAATGAGTCATTCTGGTTCGAATACGTTTAAATGTAACAGGGAATGGGTAGTTTGTTGTGAGGAATGCACGCGTTAATGACTTAGTGAACCAACCATCCAATAACAACAAGAGGGCAAATAAGTCTAACTTTTGGAGAAGCTCCTTGCAGGGTCGCAAGCGTTGTAGCCGATATCTGTCAACAAAACCAAAAAGGTAGGGCCATCTTTTACATTTGTGGATGGTTGAGTGAGGCCCCGACACGGATAAAAAACAAGTGTCGAGGTAAAACACCAGCCAAGAAGTGGAAGTAGCTTGTGTGTTATCGCCAAACTGACAGAGGGTTTAAAGCTCCGCTAATCCGAGCAGTTGAGTCAGGGAGGTAATTTCTCCTTTGGACAATCATTAACAGACAAGCAAAAGGAATTCATCAGGAAATCATTAAGTCTTAAGGTTTCTGTAGTTTCGGTCGTTTTTACTTGCAGTTCAACGATGGGCCTCCCCGTTTTTCCTCAACAAACACTATCGCAGAGAAAACTGAAACGAACTGGCATGCAGTTAGGCCAATGCAGACGGATAGCTTCAAAAGCGCAACCAGATGTGACAAGCAACCGAACAAATGCACCAACACATTTAAACAGGCACCTGTTCTTGTCTGCATTAAGCCAACTTAATCCAACAATTAGGAGCGACCACGACCGGGGTAAATGAAACTTATCCCTCTAAACAAAAGCACTTATCTGAATAGGATTGAAACCTCATGACAGAACAACCATGAGTTTGCACCCCTGAACATCAGACCTGGCCTTCAGTCTGGCAGGACTATTGTGAATTTTCCTTGTTTTTGGTCCAAAGGGCTCAAGTGCGGTTTATGACTACGAACACAAATATGAATTCCTGATTACTTTTCCCTGGGAGCGGGCGAATTTGGAACTTCTCAGAGTTCGTGTTACCTAGCGAGCGATAGCTAGGCGTTCATGTCCCGTTTGCTGAGCCTGCCTTGACTTGTTTTCTCATGGGCTCCGCGTGATCGCATGTCCAATGAGAATCACGAGACCGTCGTCGGAAGGAACGACCACAACCCACGCTATTGAGCCATCATTCCGCTCACCGTTGTTCGGTGTGCGGACGTTGACACTGCACTGCGCCAGTCAATGAAAGACCTGTGAACTTGTTGACGCTACGAACGTAAACAATTGGGGTTTGTTGTACACATTTGCTTACCCTAGTGTAAATAGTACCGTAGAATTACGAACCCCATTCTTCCTTTTGATATTCGGGATTGTTGAACCTACGCGTCACTCGAAGTTCCGTATCGGGAACCTCAACAGTACTCGATTCTGTTCGTGAGATTGGATTGACGACCCGATCGATTTGACATCGAGTTGCAGTTGCAGTTTTACCATGGACCCGTTCCGGCATGATCCCTTTCTGGCTCTTGGCTTTTCCCACCAGTATGATCCGAATACTTCGGCTGTGCTTGAGGAGGAATTACGGGAGAGCTTTGCTGAACTGGACGAGGAGGATGGGGAATTGCATCGGAAACGGCAATTAACTAGCAGAGACGTGAGGATAAATGGAAGTTCCTTGTGTCTCTTAACCCTTGTGTATCATCTGTTATGTTGACAATGAAATTCCCCACGTTTATTCTGTCCCCATTTGTAACCCCCGCCCCAATTTTGTGTTTTGTGTGTATATATCAACTGACGTTTGTTTTTCCTTACCACTTCACCCATTTGGCCTTGAGGTCATCCGGCCATTTGTATCTGACTTTGCACGTGTGACTGTCGCACGTGGGAACCTGTTTGCTCCCTTGCTTTGTACTTTTGTAGTCCAAGTGGACTGTTTGCTTTGGACGTGTATCTACTGCCGAGGTTTGTATAAATTGTGAATTTCTCTTACCCTAATAGTACCGTATAGAAACCCAGCTCCGAGTTTGTTTTGCCTACCCGGAGGTTCTGGTATTAGGCGTCACTCGAAGATACCGTTCGACTGTTACACCTTGGATGGATGATGCATTGGCTGTTTCCATTACCTCAGAAAAGGATGACAACCGACCAGACTGCCGTTACACGGAGTGCGCTCCGGTATCCGAGGATGGAGTCGCCTCACAAGAGGACAATCACCGGTCAGTCTGCGGTCCTTTGAAGTGCGCTCCAATATCAATGGACAACAGTCATTCATAAGAAGACGACGGCGCTCATTCGCATTGCGGGTTTTTGGGGTGCGCTCCACTAACCATCTGTGAGCAGACCGTTCCACCCACCATGGGTGCAGGGTTCTATGTCGAGCCCGTATATCCGTCAGTGGAAGTGACCGACTTCCAAACTTTAGGTGAAGTTCCATCAAATTTGCCTGTTTCTATCTTTGGTAGCGCTATGGTTGAAATCAGAGATTGCAAAGAAGCCCTGTCGCAGATAATCGCACCATTTGGAGCATTAAATGCCTGGTTTTGGGCGTACCATCCGGCTGTAGCTCATCTTCCGATGAGTAGCTCTGATGAATTTTCAAACGCAGACTGGCCAGTGCCTTACGTTTCAACTCAATCTTCCTTTTACTAATTTCTAGTTGACGCAAGCTCTGCTAAGTCCCCCTCCAAAACGTCTCTCTCGAGCTTAGCGTCTAAATGCCGCGCAGAAGACCTATTAGATCTAACGCTACCAGCCTAGCTGGACTTTGGTGGGCAATGACATGGGAATACAAAACATGGGCTAGTAACACAGTTCACCTGAGACGTGAACGGCATTTGATGAGCGTCAACAATTTATCCAAGATGCGATCGAGTTTGGGCTCTTTCGCACGACTTGCTTCTTAGATTGTACATCTTCGTTAGAGATGGTCTTCCCGGGGTCCACAAAAGGAAATGGTTCAATTTGAGTACTGTAGAATACTTCGACGTATTCAGGAAAGCCCACCTGAGTGACGCGCAAAATCACAAGCCAGAAATTGTGGATCCTTGAGATTTATCAAAAGATGCGCACTAAGGAAGCTGGTACGTGAAATGCATAGCTGCGAGATCGCACTCACCCAGATGGGTTACACTGCCGACTTGAATTGCTCGACAAACCTGAAACGGCTTGTGATGCGACTACCCAGGCATCTCCAACGAGAATGGGCAAAAGTGGCCGACAATATTCTATACCAACGAAAAGAGCCATCTTTCTGACTCAGTTCCTTGAGAGAAACCTGTCCGCAGCGACAAACATGTACGGACAGCTAGCTAGCAGTGCTAACCGTGGGTCCAATAGGGGTGTGGATGATATTAATCGACGCAGCAAGCTCCCCGTCCACATGTTGACGCCGTTGCATCTAAGGCTCTGAGTTGTCCCGTATGTATGACCCATCACTCCTTACGCGAATGTGCTGCATTTCGGGCCAAGTCACCATAACAGAAACTTCAGGCCTTGAGGGAACGTAAGCTGTTTTAATTGTCTGAAACCCAACCACCGAGCAGACAAATGCCGAACCCCTAATCATTGCGACGTGCCAGGATGTGGCAAACGCCACCATCGGTTACTGCACTTGGACAGCTACATAAAACCACCCACTTCGCACACTGCTAATGTAAACTCGAATACAGTGGAAGTCCCGTCAGCATTCCTAGGGTTTCTTCTAGTGCGCCTCGTCGGCCCTAATGGCGCCGTACTATGTTGTGCGCTCTTAGACAGTGGATCAGACTCTACTTTGGTGTCGCTCGAAGTCGCTGACCAGATTGGATTGAAGGGTACCCCAACAGAACTGGAGTTTAATTCGATCAACGGAACGTCAAAGTATCCTACAATTGTAGTGTCGACGGCTTCAAGGTATTTTCCCGTGTATCTGGTTCGTAGTAAAGGCGATCTGCGTGGGAAAAATATGCGACATCAGGTGATATGGATGACCTTGCATTCATAACTGCAGACAAAAAGTTAAAATGCAGACACGCTACACATGGTGCGACATCCTACACACTTATCGAATGTTTAAGATTGTGGTTGGCTACACGTGACGCTCTGACGTCACGATGTATGGGTTGAACAGACTTGATATAGAAAACTACCATCGTATGGTCAGGTTTCACCCAACAGACCATTAATTAAACCATAGATGACCACTTAGCCCGAGATAGCTCAGTGACTAATGCGCGACATTACTAACCGGAAGGTTTGTGGTTCGAACCCAACCTCTGCAACTCGACGGAGTAGGAACTTCCAGAGAGGCAACTTAGCATTCAAAGACAGAGGTGTGTTGTGTTTCTTGCAACACATGGCAACAAAATTTGCATACCACACTTAACTTAGACGCCAGCCCAGTGGTCATAGGTGATCTAAACAGGGGTCGCACATTATACAGTCAGTTAGCTGCCTAGCACACAGTCCGGGTTGATATCGCTGGAACGCAGTGTCTACGATGGCGCACCGATAGCATGAGATGGGATAGAAGTCATCTAAAAGGCAATGAAAGCACGCAGAACGCCAGACAAACACAACCACACCAGACGACAGCCGGTCGCACATGCAAGTGAGGATGCTTGGATATAACAAATGGCACCATGCAATGACAACCCATGCGGTGAACGCGCGTGCACAATCGATACGATGCCATGGATAATCGCAGACAGCACCGTCCGAGATGCAAGCAGCACGACGGGCGACAAACCTTCGTCTTCGGATGTCACAAAAAGTTGGTTCTCAGCCTTGCCAAGTATAGCATGTTTCGACGTCGTCACTGACTCGGATTTCGAATCGATGTGTAAGGAGTCGGGAGAGACCCCGTGTGCAATGAAACTTGTTGGAGAAGCAGCGGCAGCACGGTCCGCGCGAGCCAGCGACGCTTTGGTATGTCGTAAAATAGACGCATGGGCCGAAACAGCGCGTCTATGACGACTGGAGTTAGCCCGTCCCTTTGCCTGATTATTCTGCATAGCAACAAATGATACTGTGGAGGGGTTTAAGGGCTGGTGGATGCTATCTAGCAGATGGGTGTAGTAAGGAGAGGCAGAGGCAGTGAGGAAACATCCACTATGTCTTCCGGTGAGATAGCTAGCTAAACGGGCTTCAAATGCTTTTTGTCTACGTAAAGCAGCAGGACTCGGTTGCGTACATATGGAACGTGGTGCACTGCTACCAAAGGCGACCACACAGGAGGTAGTCATCAAGTGGTTGGGATTACGAGTTGATCCAACAGATGGTGAAGCACTGGCTGTTCGTTGGATTCCAGAACTTTCTGTGAACCTTCGGCGGTGTGTTGAGTGTTCGGATTCACGAGTGCGAGAGCGTTCCCAGAGGAGTTCGAGCCGAGCCTGTGGGACGAGGAAAAGATTGGTATAAGAGATAGGGGTGAGATGTTATGACAATTCACTGTCTGAGAAGCTGGGCTGGCCTTAAATCCGAAACCTCGCTAAAATATCTGCTGATCTAGTCACTCGTGAGAGACTAACTCATTCTGGCCGAGCCGAAGTGTCACTGTGTTGGGGATACCACTGGCCCCAGAAACCGTCCACTTGTCGAGTTATTGACAAATTTATTCTATGAAAATCTAAATTTTGAATTTTACTGCCCTTTCCGATCTCCTCCGACGGTGCGGTCTGCATTAGGAGTGGTCAGGCTCACGTCACAGCTCGTCTCCAAGTCTCGTATAGTCCTTGACCGTACCCGTTCAGATATGCAACATACTGCCAGCTTGCCTGGGAGTGATGGCTGAGCCCTGATAAAAGTAGTGGCAACAACAGTTATATGCTTAGCGTACCAGTGTTTGTTTACTAGCGAACGTGGGATGGAACGGTGTACTTTCTCCACACGACGATTGATTGCATTTCAAAGGACCTATAACCTAAAAAGCGAGAAATGGCTACTTCAATATTCCGGGTTGCCAGCTTGACCAGATAATCGAGGACTATTTTTCGATTTTTCTAAGCTAAGCCTATTCTGTGTAAGGAATGGCCTGCTTTGTCTACGTTGTGATTCACCTAGAAGTTCGCGTTTCATAACAGTCATACACATGTTCAAATGAATTGGCTCTGGTAACAACTATGGCAGTGAGAGGCGAGAACCACCATGAAAAACTAAGGCAAACCAAACCTTATTTGACAGTTCAAGCTCCTGGCGACGTTGCAAAACACATGACCGGCGTGCTTCAGCGCGCTGATGCATTTCTTCCAATTTGCGTCTCCGTTCCTCTTGTGCTTTTATGCGAGCTTGTTCGGCCTGCTTTTGCGATTCCACGTAGGCGGCGTACCTCTGCTGCTGTCTGAGTTCCTCTGCTGCACGCATTCGTTTTAGTCGCTCTTCTAAGGATAAAGCACTCAGTGAAGGCGCCGTTGATGTTGCTGGTTGACCCTGTGAGTCACAGGTGCTTCCTGGTCGAGTTGAGTCTGCTAGAACACAAAGTTAATAAAGAGGCAGTTGGGAAATGAATGGAAATGAAATTGGGAAAGAAGCACAATTTAAGGGATGTTGGTTAAATGTGGAAATGATAAGTGTGTTACATTCACAATTGTCGAAAGATCCTATTGGTGAAACTGGTAAATTTCAGCAACGGAAAAGTAATAAAAGACGGTTTACAGGATCACCCCAGAGTGTGTGAGTGGGTGTGAGGGTGTGGGTGTCTGAGTTATCATCACTGTGGAGAAACTCTACGAGTGGTTCCAACGCTGATTAGTGCGCATCTAATGAGAGCTTTTGTGTTTTGCCGGTCGGATATTTCCAGTGTCCATCAGATCCGAAGATTCTGCTGAGGAAAGTGACTGGGAACGGATTTAGAGGTCACTGTGACAATGAACCCGAAATGAATACAGACAATACATCCGCGGCCAAATGCTGTAGACTGTAAGGAGCTCTTTGAACCAACTAAGTCCGGAACTGTTCCAATCTTGTTCTCTATTTGTATTTTGCCTACATACTAGTATGGATAACTGGATGTACCTGTGATCAGAGCACTTTTGGAGCAGATTGAGAGATGGAGCCAAAACAGTGTCAGATATTAGAAACGTTGAATATATGAACCATAGGAGAGAACAACTCCTTCTTACTTAACATCATCCACTCCGAGATTTACTGTCAAATGGAGAGTCCTACGCACTGGTGCGGGATTAATGGGTCTCTACAAAATAAATGAGCCTTGCCTTTGGGTTGTCGTGGCCCGGGATCTGACCGCAAGGTTAAGTTAAGGCTACTTATCAGTACTACAGAGGTACTACAGATACAGGTTACAGATGGTGATATGCACTACTTTCCAACCACAGAAGACTGCAGCTGGGCGTTTGAGTCATTCTGTGGGCTGTTTTGTTGTATGGCTGAGACTTGGCCTGTTCGAGCAGCGGTACTGAGATAACTTCAGGTGTTCGACACATCATTGTCTCAGGACGATAGCTCGTGTGATTTGGTGACCGGGAATCTGTAACGATGCACCCGGAAAGCGAGTTTCTGGTTGTGCAACAGTAAAGAAATTGCCCAGCACCAGAAGCTGCGTTGTTTGGACTATGTATTGTGTATACCGAACCGTTGTTTGCCAAAGAGAGTGCTGTGTTCCATGTCCAACTCAGAGTGGCGGAAGCCACTCTGGAAGAGGGGTATGGAGATAACGAAACGTTTGGGTGCTTTCGGTGCTACTCGCCTCCCAGGATGGACACCGCGGGATTCCAATTGCGTCCGGTTGAAGACGCTACAAAATATGGTTGCTAATCGACATCAATGGCGTTTTGGTTTTCAATTACCAACTACATTGCCTGAGTAAGTGTCTCGAGGCGTAGCAACCTCGGAATATTTGTAGTAAGCTAGCACTAAGTACCGTCCTACAATATGGCATTGAAATAAATCATGGTTGTACGACAGCGAAGCATCAGTGTTGAACGCTGATATCATGCTGTCCATGAGGATGATGATGATTCTGCTTTCAACAGTAAATAACTTAGGTAGGGTTGCAGCCGAAACAGAACAAGATTTAAATTGTGAACTCGCCGAATACCCGTGGTCGCGGACAACTGGATACTGACAACTTTGTTGCAATATGATCCAGAAGGGGAGACGGTATACCAGAAAAATTGATTACAGATAGATTGAATGGGATGTAATCTGCCTTGAAATGAATTTGCCTCATTGCTGACTGACTGACTACGCTGCTTTGCGACTAGCTTCTGTAGCAGTCTCTATTCAGTTGTCAGCTTCCAAACCATGCGCCAGGAGTACGTTAGCTTCAGCTGCCACAGCTTTGTAGACCGAAAATGGGAGAACCGCAAATGAAAACCAAGGCATCAGGATAGATGGTCCACACAGTCAACTGATATTGGCTTGTTTGAGTAGCCTGATCGCGCAGCTACGCACTATGGGAGATGTCATTGATGCAATGGCATCACTTTGTGAATAAGCCACATCTGCACCAGTATTGTATCAAGTCCCAAGTTCACCATTCAGGAAGGTGGCAGATGTCAACCTGAGTTTACTGATAGGGTATTCCATAGTTTGTTGCCAGGTCACAGCGTCCACTTTTCAGACGTTTTCACTCTGTATCAGGCTGGAGGAAAAGAGGTCTGCGAGGTATACAGAACTGTGATAGATGAAGTACGTATCCCAAACTACTTAACCTATGGAGTTGGGTTGACTTGTCTAGTGTATGAGTCCCCTTTTCTAAATCATCTAGTGTATGTCATTATTAGTACGATATTCTTACCAGACCCTAGCTATGCCTCGGAGACATTGATTTTCGAAAACTGTATAGAACATGTTTCCGATACACTGTCACGAAAAGACTGGACCTTAACGTGGTATGGCGGTTTGTGTACCTCAGCAACCCATTGAGCTATACTGCGGGGTGTTCCCATGACAGTCACAAAGTCTCTCACATTAGGTTGGTCAGTGGGTAGAGGTCTGAAAATACAATCTCCTGGCCCTCCGGCTTGGGGGTTGGGACATATATGGCGACGTGTTCCGCAAAAATGGTAATATATTTGCATTTCCAGCCGAACACCACTGCCTTGTGGTTGGGCTTTGGTTGAGGATCCTCATCGTCCTTCTAGGTGTGGGCGCCCTGGTAGTATCCCAGCCCTCGTACAACCATGACCTATACAACTAACAATATTCTCATGCCACATCGACCGTCGCTTGGTGACATCAGCCAGGTCGCCGTACTTGCTGCATACAGCAGGACGGGTAGGCGAAAACATGCTACTGTTGACGCTGCTCTTTTTACACTTCCACGTTTTCCGTCCTCCAACCGCCCCCGCCCAATTTTAAATACTCTATCCCCAGGTCTCAGCTCTGGGACTGACCGTTTAGTTCGCACTGCATTACACTCAGCTGTAGCTTCTGTACGTTCCAGTTCAGTCACAACCCTTAACACTCCGAAGTCTGTTTTCGAACCCCGGAAACCTGTTTACTTAGCCACCTTCAATGTTCGCACACCGAAGCAAGCAGGTCAACAAGTGGCTCTTGCTCGCTGGATTCCCTCTGCATCGATGTATGTTGTCTGTCAGAAACAAGGACGCAGGACGCAAGTACTGTGATCGAACTGGCTGCCCCCTCGCTCTTTGCCAGGTTACGGCTGCGCACCCCTGGAGATGGCCCAAGTAGTTAGAGCGCAAATTTACCGACCGGAAGGTCCGTGGTTCGAACCCGACATCTGGCACTCGACTTCCCCTGTCTAGGCTTGCGCAACCTGGGAGTATCCCAGCCCTCGTGCTTCCTCCGGGTGGCATGGCAGCTAGGCACCGAAAGGGTGTTACAGCTGAACGATTTATTTATTTCTATTTTTTTACCCCTGGAGATACAGAGGCCGCTGCAGCTGGATATGCTGCGTTGGGTATTGTATTGAGCGAACAAGTGGAAGCGTCTCTGCTTGATTGGATACCCGTTGACAGTCGCCTCTGTGCGGTTCGTTTGGCTACATCGGTGAGAGAATCTAGAGGCAGTGAGGTTCATCGCACCTTGTTTATTGTTTCTGCTTACGCCCCAACTGACTGTAGCTCTGAATCTGCCAAGGACAGTTTCTATGACACTCTAGATGCCCTTCTACAACAGGCTAAAAGCTCAGATATCGTTGCGGTTGCTGGTGATATGAACGCCCAAGTAGGTAGACCAAGCGCTGCTGAGGCCCGATTGGGTGGTCGTCTTGGTTTGGACACGAGACGCACGGACAACGGAGACCGGTTACTTCAGATGTGTGCCGATCACAGGCTGTTCCCTTGCAGTACAAATTTCCGGAACAGCGGAAATCGCTTGACAACAGCAGTTGGCAGGTTGGGTTCAATCCATGGGAACCTGTAGTAACGGTATTTTTCTCAGTTCAGTTCTCGGTCTGAGCTTCCCAAGCTAGCGTTCACGTCAAAACAACCACCAAAGGTGCACAAGGCTGCGGCACCGTTACGGTTCTGTCACGCAGCGAGCAAGA